GGGGAACTTATTCTAAGATTTGGTCAACTTGGATCACTTCTCAAAACACCAGTTGATAAAGGGCCTACTTTTCAAGATTCAGACACTTGGGGTAACCTATATCACAGAATGGCGGGATCCAAGTTCCTTCTTAGGACACTCCTCTAAATCCTAAAGATAGGGGCATGCCTTTCAAAATTCAAATGTTGGGGTAGACCACTGCGAGACTCAGAAACTGGTTCTAAATGGTTCATCAAGGGAAAATCATTCCAAAGGTCAGTTAATCAAAGGCATGGTGTTTCAAAATTAAAATGTTAGGGAAAGACATGCCACATAAGGCAAGCCCTCTTCATACTTTCACAATCCCCATGGGACCTCTCTGCTACATCCATAATCTTTGAGTTTAAAAAGAGTATCAGAAAGTCATGTCAGCATAAATACCCTACCATTTTTTCAATAATTATTCTTGTTATACTAATAACCTCTCTGAGTCTTAATCATTTCTTTGCCCACAACAAGGTCACCATTTAAAAAGCATACGAGTCTTCATAAATCATTACCATGCATGCATTGGGGCTCTTAGATCCATAATCAAGCTATACTTATCATCTCATTCATCTGACGAATTCCGACAACATGGATCGAGCATATCTAAAAAAAGATCCCAATTACGCATTTGCAAAATCCAACATCCATTGATACATATCCAAGTGACTCATTACATGCATCAATCAATCATTACATTTCATGCATCAATTAAAATCATAACACATAGCATAAACCATGTTGCATGTGAAGACAATCATCATTGTCGAATCATGTTATCTATTCTACATTGAATCTCAGTAGTAGATTCTCCTGGTTAATCTCGACATATGATTATCCAGAAGACCTCGATAGAAGGTAATTCTATGTTGAATCTCGACAGTAGATTCCTCTGGTTAATCTCGGTAGTTGATTATCCAAAAGACCTCAACATCAGGTAATTCTATGTTGAATCTCAACAGTAGATTCCCCTAGTTAATCTCGACATATGATTTTCCGAAAGACCTCGGAAGAAGGTAATTCTATGTTGAATCTTGACAGTAGATTCCTCTGGTTAATCTCGGTAGTTGATTATCCAGAAGACCTCGTCAGAAGGTAATTCTACGTTGAATCTCGACAGAAGATTCCCCTGGTTGATCTCGACAGTTGATTTTCCAGAATACCTCGGCAAAAGGTATTTTCTCAATTGAATCTTGATAGTAGATTCTCATGGTTAATCTCAGTAGATGATTTTCCAGAAGACCTCGACAGAAGGTAGTTCTCAATCGAATGTCGGCAGTAGATTCTCCTGGTTAATCTCAACAGATGAATTTCTGGAAGACCTCGGCAGAAGGTAATTTCTTAATCAAATCTTCGCAGTAGATTCTCATGGTTAATCTCGGTAGATGATTTTCCAGAAGACCCCGGTAGTAGTTCACAATAGAATCTCAGGAGTAGATTCTCCTGGTTAATCTCAGTAGATGATTTTTTGGAAGACATCGTAGAAGGTAGTTCACAATCGAGTCTCAGCAGTAGATTCCCTTGGTTAATCTCGACAGATGATTTTCCAGAAGACCTCGGCAAAAGGTAGTTCACAATCGAATCTCAGAAGTAGATTCCCCTGGTTAATCTCGACAGACGATTATCCAGAAGACCTCGGCAGAAGGTAGTTCTTAACAAATCTCGAAAGTAATTTCCTTAGAAATCTCGGCACTAGATTTCATGTTAAAAGCCTCACATTAAGCATGACCTACACATAACCATATCAAATTCTCAAGGTCATTCATAACATTTGGTGCATATAACATACGAAAATACCAAAGAGTGTTTGATAAAACATAAAAGTTTATTCTGGTTAGAAAAACATCAAAAGAGGTTTACGTCTACGTCCACACCTACGCCTACGCCTATGATACAAATATCAAGATCCCGCTGACATTTATTCATCTTATTTAAATCAATTCAAAATACCACGACGATGCAACATACAAACGTCAGGGAGTTGGTGACACAAAACCATTGGTTTAAAAGGAGAGAATATCAAAAACATTTTTCATAATATTTTGGGGCATACACACACATTTGGTACATATGTAAATATTCGGGGATCATTTCTTCATGTTGATGGCCTTGGTTGAGAACAGGCACAACCAACTTCATTAGCAAAATTTTTGGGTTCATTTCTTCATGTTAATAGTCTTGGTTGAGGACTGACACAACCGACATCATCAGTGAATTTTGGGTTCATTTCTTCATGTTGATAGTCTTGGTTGAGAACAGACACAACCGACATCATTAGTAAATTTGGGGTTCATTTCTTCATGTTGATAGCTTTGGTTGAGAATAGACACAACCAACTTCATTAGCAAAATTTTGGGGTTTATTTCTTCATATTGATAGTATTGATTGAGAACAGACACAATCAACATCATCATTGAATTTGGGGTTCATTTCTTCATGTTGATAACCTTGGTTAAGAAAAGACACAACTGACATCATCAGCGAAACTTCAGTTTCAATCTTTAAACCTAGCATTTTTTAAGCTAAACAATTGCCTTGGTTGAGAATAAACACAACCAATAAGAAAAAATATGATCCTATCTTTGATCTAGTAATCTAAATATTTGATCATCAAAAACAGATTTTTCTGCGATATAACTCATTGTGTTAGTCTCCATGCAGTAATGTTGTTATCAAGCTTTTTTAATCGTCTATCCCCTAGGTTGTGGTAGATGTGCAAATTGTCAGATTCATATTACTCATTCCCTAGGTTGCAATGAATACGTGAATTCATGTTTTGGATGGATTGTTTACATGGTACAAATAGTACACAATTGGACTAGATACTGTTAAGTGTTGATAAAAATTCAAGCTTTTTTATCTCCTCAGAACCGAATATCTGATGCTAATTGAAGGTGTGAAAAACACAAGAAAGGGAGGATTTGAATTGGGTTTTAAAACAAAAAATTTTCTTTAAAAATATTCCCCTTTAAGTTAAAATCATTTTAAGAACCACTCTTGATAATAACAATAAGTAATAACAGGAAGTAAAGAACAATGTATATTTATACTAGTTCACTTGAAAATTATCAAGCTAGTCCAGTTCACCCGCCAAGGTAATTTCGCCTCACTCAATTGAGGAATTAATTCACTATAACCAAACTGATTACAATTTTCACAAGCTATTCGCAAGTAACTAACAACTTCTAAGACTCGCAAGTTAAATACTTCTTAAGGCTACAGACCTACCCGATACCTTAAGGAATATCAAACAATAATCAACGTGATTATTACAATGCACAAGCTACCCACAAGTGACTAACAACTTCTAAAACTCGCAAGTCCTAGACTTCTTAAGAATACATACCTACCTGGTCCCTTAAGAAATATCAAACAACAGTTTGAATACAAGTTTTGTTTACAAGAATGTTGCTTCTAAAAAGCTGAATATGTAAACTATTTTATGAACATTGACTTAAGAATGTGAAAGCTATGAACAACGTTTGTTCATGAATATTCAGTGAATTGGCAGCTTTCTCTCTTAGTCTTCAAGCCTTTATATAGCCAATAAAATAATATACTCGTTGAGGGGTACTCTTGGGATTTTCAAAAACATTGGCAGCTTGAACAATAACGTGGTGGATAAGATCGTGCGACGCGTTCGTCCTTTCATGGTAGTGGGATGAAACATTGATTGTACCATGTACTATTTGTACCACGTTAACATTATCTTTTTCCTTCTACATTTCAGAGGCTTCTGCGAGCATGAGTTTAAAAGCGAGAACATAACACAAGGTCATCAAAACTTCAAGTCTTCAGAACTGCGTCTTTAGAGTCTTCAGCACTTGGTTGTGAGAACCTTTTCTTGGAACCTTGGGTCTTTAGAACTTCAAGTCTTTAGAATATTTAGAACTTCTGTCTTTAGAGTCTTCGATACTTGGTCTATAGAACCCTTATCTTTAAAACCTTGTTATTAGAAACACAAGTCTTCAACATCTGAACTTCAGTAGAAACTTTGTCTTCAGATCTTCTAACTTTGTTTCTTTGGAACACGTTGTCTTTAAAAGCTTGAGTCTTTAGCATCTGGACGTAAGTAGAAACTTCTGTCTTCAGATCTTCTGACTGATTTCTTTAGACAAATATTAGAGCTTACACTTCAGAGCCTTCTGGAGTGTCTTGCTATTGTTCAACAGAACTTGTGTAGTGTAGAAGCAAAATTAATTCTCTTCTAATGTCTTGGTCACGCCATTCATGAGAAGTAGAACCTGTTTGTTAAGTACTTAACAATAACAAACATTAGAGTATCAAAATTGTTCATACAAACATACTCATTTGTTATCATCAAAACTCATAGATGATATTGCAAAACCAAATCTTGTTCTTACAACACGTACCTTGTCTTGGAAATGAGACAACGATAACGTTGATAACAATCACCTTCTACTATATTCCAACAATCATCGTTTTAAGCACGAACTTTTCTTCGCAGCTGCTAGGGTTTTTTAGACAATAAAACTATAAAAATGAAATGAAAGAGTTTTGATGTTTCTAAATATGACACCTAAGTTTGTACGTATAATAAAAAATGAAACAAAACATTAAGAAGATTGTCATATTAGTTCGCAAACGTTTGTTAACGTTTTTCTACTAAAAATTGACAAAAATAATTTATTAATTGAATTGAATTTAATTAAAGAACCATATTATAACGTTTTAAAATTGTAAGAGTAAATTAAAAGAATAAATTAAATTAGAGGAGTAAAAGATGAATTAAACCTAAAAAGAATTGGAATTACTGAGTTGAAATAATAATATAATAATATTTTTTTAGTTAATTGAATCTGGATAGAGATTTGGATTGTCGGCCAGCACACCTAAGTACTACCTGGATTTTATCTACTATTAGTATTATTTATAAAAGATAATATGAACTTTTCGGTAAAAAAGAAAAATAAAGATTTGGACAAACAAGTTGACAGAAAGGTAGAGTGTGATCAATGTCGAGTGTGAAGATGATCGGAGTGATAGGCGGCGGTCAGATGGGATCAGGAATAGCCCAACTCACCGCCATGCACGGCATCGATGTTTGTCTTCTAGATGTCGACTCTCAAGCTCTTTCAACTGCTTCCTCTTCCATCTCTTCTTCCATCAACCGTCTCGTTTCCAAATCTCTTCTCTCTCACCCCACTGCTTCTGATGCTCTCAAACGTTTGCGTTTTACCACTAATTTAAACGATCTCTCTCATGCTGATTTCATTATTGAAGCTATTGTAGAATCTGAAGAGGTTAAGAAATCTTTGTTTCTTCAATTAGATAAGATTGTTAAGACTTCTGCAATTTTGGCTTCTAATACCAGTTCCATCTCCATCACTCGTTTAGCATCTTCTACCACTAGGCCACAACAGGTAATTCCTTCTTCTTCTTCTTCTTCTTCTTATGTGCATACCATTAGCTATTTATCTATTCTTTTCTTCTTCCGCTTTTCTGTTAGGTAATAGGAATGCATTTTATGAATCCTCCACCAATTATGAAATTGATTGAGATTGTACGAGGTGCTGATACTTCTGATAACACATTTGCTGCTACAAAAGCACTCTCACACAGGTTTCTGGTTTGCAATCTTTCCATCCACCCACATTCTTTATGTATCTAGGTTAATATTTTTTCATATGATTTTGCATTACAATAGACTAAAACAAAATGGAATATCTTCTTCTATTCTATCTCATTGCTTTCATATGTTTAACACAACCCAAATGCATCACTCTTTTACCTTATCAATCTTTCAATCATGTTTCTAATATGTTCAATCAAGTATATATATAATCTAGGGTTAAATATGATTTTGGTCCATACTCATTCTATATTTCTAGAATTCGCCACTGACCCTTGTTTTGTCCTATATAGCACCGACACCTCTGAAAACCAGTGTCTGTGCCCGTGTCGGTATCACACACCTGCACCGACACTTGTGATTACGTTTAATTTATTCATTTTTAAAATTATTACCAGTGTCACTCTCGGGATCGTATTTGGGGTGTCCGTGCTTCATAGGTTTTGTCACACCCTTTTTTGGTTGGTTATCCTACCCGCATAACTGCAAAAGTCATTAGTCAAATCAATGACTACATGTTTAAGAGACCCAAAATGCTTATCATTAACCCCAATAGATTTTTAACAAGTACACATATTTCTATCTGTCCAACCAGCGAAAAATAAGTGACAGGGGCCAATTCTAGAAGCGCGTTATAAGCTCGTTAAAATATGAGCATTTTATCGTTAAAAACATTATGTTTTTCTAATACAATGCATCATATTAATTCTTTTATGCTTAGTTACCTTTAACCTGCGTACACTCATTCTGATTTTCTTCTCTTCGCATGTTCTCTTTACATTCTTTTGCTTTATTCTTCTTGTTCAAGGAAGCTAGGCACAGTTCCTATTGTTCTTTAAATTCATGCTGGTTCAATATGTGTTTACAGGCTTGGCAAAACCGTAATAACTTCCCAGGATTACTCAGGCTTCATAGTGAACAGAATCCTTATGCCCATGATAAATGAAGCATTTTATACTCTGTACACTAATGTTGCAACGAAAGAGGATATTGACACAGGAATGAAGTTGGGTACTAACCATCCAATGGGCCCTTTAGAGCTTGCAGACTTCATTGGGTTGGATGTATGCTTATCTATAATGAAAGTTCTTCATGCTGGCCTTGGGGACAATAAATATGCACCTTGCCCTCTACTTGTGCAGTATGTTGATGCTGGCAGACTTGGAAGAAAACGAGGCGTCGGTGTGTATAACTATAGTGAAGAGCCAAAGTCTTCAAAATCATCTTCTCGTCTATAAAATGTTTGGTTTCCTTGGAATATAGTTAATCATGCAATCTCCATGTTTGGTTTCCTTGGAATATAGTTTAGTCATGCAATCTCCCTTTTACACATTCACTACTGAACAGCTTCATGTTTGCTTGTATAATAAGTTTAATAGCTGAAGTTTATTGTGATAAGACTTATATGTCAGAAGAGGATATACTTACAGTATAAGGGTAGGAACCAAAGATCAATTAGTATTTTAGGTTCTCTGTCATGAATTGGTTTATGTCTATTGAGACATTGTGTATGATGTTTTGATAGGCCAATGCATGTTTTGAGCCTATTTTGATGTGGATGCTGTTTGGATAGGATTTTCCTTACTAATGTGATCTCTCTTGGCTGGAAAAAAAAAGAGCTAGAAGAGAAAATAAAAAAGATTGTAAAGTGAAAAGTAAAGAGGCGGGGAGATGGCATGGCGATAGCTACGGGTGTGTATGTTTGATTATTAAATGAAAGCAACTTGTTACAAAATTCAAACTTTTGGTTCAACTTATTTATAAAATCCATTTGGTAAAAAAACCAGTGATTTTTAAGCCAATTTTAAACGGTTTGGAGAACTGGTTTACTTTTCATTTCATGATGCATAACTAGATAAGTATATGCAGATTTTAAAGAGTCAAGGGCAATGTTTGATTACACATCATTGTTCGTTATCACTCGGATTAAGATCCTCTGCTGCATTATCTCTCCTGTTTTTCCTCCAGTGTAATTTTAAACTATTTGATTAATCTCATGGTTAAACCATTTAGAAGAGATAGAAAACAGTTTATTATGGGAAGTTAGAAGAGAGAGAAACTGATATATCTTTTGTTTTTTTATTACAAAATCATTTTAGAATTAATCTTTTTCTTCTCTTCTCATAAATAAAATAGTACACCAGTAACTAAAAAACAGATATTTTGCCGCCTTCGCCGATAACTATGAAGAATTGTTAGATGAAAATTGTGATAATAATCATAATCTCGATGAATTTCCTTTCTCTTTCATTTACACTATTCGAGTCGGAAATTTATTAACGCTGATGGTGATTACAAAAGGGTGGAAGAACCCAAACCATCATGTAGCAGGAAATTCATTAAACCAGTAAAAACTCAACATGCCACAAATTTTTAAAGAGTGTCCTTAATCTTGTTAAGAACCAACAGTTATGTAAAAGATAATAAAATTGAAAGGAAGTATTCAAAAATTGAATAACAACGTTGGCTAATATATAGCCTTAAATATGCTAGAAAATTGAAAAGCAATACTCACGTTTACAACCCACTACTCCTAATAATATGATAGACTAATTCAAAACAAATAACTACTCCTAAAATAGAGGAATCATAAAAACTGACTAACAAATCCTCTCTTAAACTGAAGGCTCTATGCAATCAGTTTATATCAGACTCTGAACAAACTCCTAGCAACCTGCGTAGCTTCAAGAAAACATCCAACTTGAGTGGTTTAGTCATAATATCAGCCACACAGTACATCATCTCAACAGTTCCAGCCTTTGTGAGATCACGAAGGAAATGAAAACGGACATCAATATGCTTGCAACGACCATGCGTTACTGGATTCTTTGAAAGCTTAAGAGTAGAACTGTTGTCGCAACGAATCACAGTTGTCTTGCTTTGATTTATACACAGTTTTCCCAGCACTCTTTTCAACCATATGGCTTGACAAGCACACGCAGCTGCACCAATAAACTCAGCTTCTGTAGTGGATAGACTCACAATTGGTTGTTTCCTCGATGACCAAGAAACTACAGCTGAAGACAATAAGAAAACATAACCCGAAGTGCTTTTCCTATCATCCAAATCCCCTGCATAATCATTGTCAGTGTATGCAAGAAGCTCACTGTTTCCTCCCTTCCTGTAGAAAATTCCAAACCCAGTTGTTCCCTTTAAATATCTCAACACTCTTTTGGCCACATGTAAATGCAACTCAGTAGGGTTCTCCATATACCTGCTAATTAAGTTAACTACAAACATCATATCAGGTCGAGTAGATGTTAGATACATAAGACTTCCCACAATTTGTTTATAATAAGTCTTATCCACCTTTACACCAGATTCATCTTTTGAGAGTTTGATACCAGGAACAATTGGATTGTGCACATAATTACTTCTATCCATTCCAAACCTTTGCAGCATCTCTAATGCATATTTCTTTTGACATAAGAAAATGCCATTTGATTGTTGCAACACTTCAAGACCGAGAAAGTATCTCATTTTACCAAGGTCAGTCATGTCGAATTCATGCTTCATGGAGCTTTTAAATTTTGCAAACATCAGCTCATCATTTCCAGTAAAAATGAGATCATCAACATACAAACTAACAATTAATAGTTTACCCCCTTTTTCTGTCTTCACAAACAAAGTATGCTCATAGTCACACTTCTCAAAACCTTCCTTGAGAAAGTATGCTTCTATACGGCTGTACCAAGCACGTGGTGCTTGCTTAAGCCCATAAAGGACCTTCCTCAACTTATAAACTTTATGCTCATTTCCTTTCTGTACATAGCCACGAGGCTGGTCCACATACACTGTTTCATTCAGCTCTCCATGTAAAAATGCTGACTTTACATCCAGTTGATATATTGTCCACCCTTTTTGAGCCGCAAGTGCCACCACCAAACGAATTGTCTCCATGCGAGCCACTGGTGCAAACACTTCTGTATAGTCTACCCCGTACTCTTGTGCATACCCCTTTACTACTAGCCTGGCTTTGTACTTGTCCACTTCTCCATTCTCTTTGAATTTAGTCTTATAAACCCACTTCACTCCAACTTTCTTTGCTCCGTCCGGTAATTCCATCAATTCCCATGTGCCATTTCTTTTTATTGCTTCCATCTCCACATCCATGGCTTTCCTCCATTTTTCAATTTGAACAGCATCATCAAAGTGAATAGGATCACCATCACCAGCTGCAAACATGGCCAAATTAACGTCAATATTTCCTTCAGAAAGTCCTTCTCCAGTTTCATAATCTTCCATCCAAAGTGGTGGTATTCTACACCTTAGTTGATTTGGATTAGGAGTGCTTTCTTCTACCATAGAATCAGTGCTTTCTTCTGCCACAGAATCAGAGGAACCATTATCCTCCTCCTCGGTATCAGTATTATGATCAAAATCATGCCCTGTCTCATCTTCTTCTTCCACAACAGCTTCCACATCTTTATCACCCCAATCTAAATCACATGAGATAACTTCTTCATACTTCTTATCCCAGTCCCAACCTTTATCTTCTTCAAAAACAACATCCCTGCTTATTATGATCCTTTGTGAAATTGGATCATAAAGTTTGTATGCTTTTGATAATTCACTAATCCCCAACAAAACACAACACAAGCTTTTATCGTCAAGCTTGGTTCTTTTAGCATCAGGCACATGAACATGAGAAATACATCCAAAAATTCTAAAGTACTTAACTGACGGCTTGACTCCACTCCACGCTTCTTCTGGCGTCTTATTTCTCACTGCTAATGTTGGACTCTGATTCAAGACATGCACAGACCAGTTGACAGCTTCATGCCAAAAAGTTTTGGGTATTTTCTTCTCTGACAGCATGCTCCGAACCATGTTCATAATGGTTCTGTTCTTTCGTTCTGCAACCCCGTTCTGTTGTGGCGTATATGCAGCTGTCAGTTGTCTTCGAATACCATTTTCACTGCAAAAATTGGTGAATTCATGTGATGTAAACTCTCCCCCACGATCAGTGCGGAAGCCTTTGATAAATGAATCAGCTTCCTTCGCAACATGAATTTTAAAATTCTTGAAAACAGAAAATGCTTCTGATTTTTCTGTCAAGAAATAAATCCATGTTTTTCTGCTGAAATCATCAATAAAAGTGATCAAATACCTTTTTTTGCTGTTGGAGATAGGTTTGATTGGTCCACAGATATCAGCATGTATTAGTTGCAGAATTTGTGTAGCCCTCCAAGTGCTCTTCTTTGGGAATGAATTTCTTGGTTGCTTTCCTACCAAACAATCCTTGCAGAGTCTTGTTGGTGCCTTCAATTTTGGTAAGCCATTTACCATACTCTTTTGCTGAAGCGTGTCTAAACCCTTAAAACTCAAGTGTCCATATCTGCAGTGCCAAAGATGCATTATATCTTCTGTAACTGTGTGAAAGCAAGTGAATTTTTCAGGTTGAGATATCACATGCAACCGGAACATTCGATTTAAAGATATTCTGGTTTCCATGATTAAACCGTTCTCGGGATGGAAAACTTTGCACTTTCCATGTTGAAACAAAATACTAAGCCCCTTTTCTTGCAATTGCCCAATACTTAGCAAGTTATTCCTCAATTCTGGCACAAAGAAGACTTCAATAACAATATGTGTTTTTCCATTTATGTTTAACCTTATGTTACCCTTTCCAATTACAACCATGCTGGAATTATTGCCCAACTTGACAGAGTCCTTGTAACTTTCATCAAGGTTTGAGAAGTACTCCTTCTTCCCGCACATGTGATTGCTGCATCCAGAATCAAGAAACCACACATCTTCATTGGCCTTGTTCATATCTGTGTAGGCCATCAATAACATTTCTTCTTGAGTCTCTGCATAGTTGGCCTCATTCTTTTGGTTTGAACATTCCCAACTGAAATGCCCAAGTCGATGACAACTATAGCACTCCACTGTGGATTTGTCGAATCTTTGCCTGCCTCGTCCTCGTCGACCAAAGCCTCCACGGCCTCGTCCCCTTTCTGCATATTGAGCATATTAATCTCCATGAGTAATCTTCAAAGCCTGTTCTTCTTCAACATGAGAATTCATACGTTGTTCATGAACAATCAGGCTGCTTTGCAGTTCATCAATGGTTAAGGTGTCTGTATCCTTAGACTCCTCAATGGAACACACAACATAATTAAACTTAGGAGTCATGGATCTCAAAATTTTTTCAACTACAGCAACATTTCCCTTGTTTTCACCATTAGCCTTCATCTTGTTGGCTATGGTAAGTGTCCGAGCAAAATAATCATTCACAGATTCTCCTTCCTTCATATGAAGAATTTCAAACTCTTTTCTAAGAACTTGCAACTGTGCACGTTTCACTCGTGATGTGCCTTGACATTTCTGCTTCAAGGAATCCCATATGTCCTTTGCTGTATCTTTGTTAAGAATAGTCTCCAAGACAGAACGATCTAATGCTTGAAATAGATAGTTCTTTGCCTTCATGTCTTTTAATTTCTGATCATCAATACTCTTTCTTTGTGCATCTGTGAGATTTTCTCCTTCTGCTGCTGCAGAAATCCCATTCTCCACTAGACCCCAGTACTCCTTTGAACGCAAAAAATTCTCCATGAGCATCGCCCAGTGATCATAATATAATGCCCATCAAATTTTGGTATTGCTGGCTGCACAAAAAAACTCAACATGCCACAAATTTTTAAAGAGTGTCCTTAATCTTGTTAAGAACCAATAGTTATGTAAAAGATAATAAAATTGAAAGGAAGTATTCAAAAATTGAATAACAACGTTGGCTAATATATAGTCTTACATATGATAGAAAACTGAAAAGCAATACTCACGTTTACAACCCAC